GCATGCACAGTGGCCATGCTCAGCAATAAAATGTCTCAGCAGGCTAAACTAGGTTGAGGGTAACTGACAGGCCTCAAACCCATCGGTGAGTTAGGGGGATGTCTACCCCAAGCATGAGAAGACTTCTCCCAGCAGAATGGGTGAATGAGAAAAATGTGTTCCAACAGCCACGAAGGTGCTATGGAAGGCTTAGATCTTGGTCAGACATCAGAAATGCCAAAGTCATCCATTGTATCCTGGACCATCACCAGTTGTCCTGACTTTTGTCTTGCCACTGGGACCTCTGATAACTCTGAAAGAGAAGGTGAGGCTGATGACTTTGCACAACTCTGCTTCACTCAAATCTAATTCACTCATGGGTCAAGACATCATCCACGATGTCGTCGGTCCTTTTTGAAAAGAAAGGACAAACCATAATCACTTAGTACAGTGCCTGGCACATAGTAGGTGCTTAATAAATATTTATTGACTGACAGATACTGCCAATCAGTTAATTCCTCTTGGACCTATGAAGAGTGGGGCCCTGGACTGGGAAGATGGTAGTGACATTTACATGGTTCTTTAAAGTTTGCAAAGCCTTTTGTATCCCTGATCTTATTTGATCCTCACAACAACCCTATGAGGTAGGTGCTATTATTATCCCCATTTTCCAGATGAGGAAATTGAGGCTGAGAGAGGTTAAGTAACTTGTCCAGGGTCACACAGCTATTAAGTGTCTAAGGTAAGATTTGAACCCAGGTCTTTCTGACTCCAAGACCAGAGCTTCATCGAGTAGGCCCACTGCTCTTTCAACAATGAACAAACCCTGTTATTGTTGTTTTTTTTTTTTTAAAACATCAATAGGAATGCCCTTGGCATGAGCCAGAATGGGGGGAAAAAAGGAAAGGAAAAGGAAGGGAAGGAAGGGAATAAGCCTTTGTATAACACCTACTGTGTGCCAGTCACTGTTCTAAGGAAACGAAGGGAGGAGAAATAAGCATGTGTATCGTACCTATTACGTATCCGGCATTTTTTTTTTTTTTACAAATATTATCTCATCTGATCCTCATAACCACCTTGAGAGGTAGGTGCTACTATGATACCCATTTTACAGTTGAAAAAACCGAGGCAAACATGTTGAGTGACTTACCCAGGGTCACATAACTAGTAAATGTCTGAGACCAGATTTGAACTGAAGTCTTCCTAATGCCATGCCCAACACTCTACCCACTTTACCACCAGCTGCCTCTGTAACACAGGGCAGCATAAAATTTGGCTCAGAACATGCCTACCAATCACCTTGTTGATCCTTCAAGCAGGTCCTGAGCCTGCTAGCTCCCAAGCTTATTAAAATCTGCCCACAAGTTGTAACTATGTGATCCCCTTACCACCACCACCCCCTCCATCTTTTTACAGGTAAAATCTAATTAAATGACCATCAAGAAGATGACAAAGGGATGAAGGAGGGGAGAAAAATGTTCCACGTCAAGGACAGTCACCATTAAAGCCAGAAGGCACTTCAGAGGTCATCTAATCCAACATCCCCCTTTTACATATGAGAAACTGAAGCCAGGAGAGGGTAGATGACTTGTCCAAGGTCACACAGCTAGTAAGTGGCTAAGTTAGGATTAGATCTGGGGGCTCCCAGGTCAATCTCTCTGGAAGTGCTGTGGGTTGATTTGTTTGTTTGTTTGTTTGTTCGTTTTTTTCAGCATTACTTAATGGGGCTCCTCTCCCTATCCTTTCCTGCCCACCTTCCCAGCAGTATAGGGCTCTCCAAAGCTAAGAGCTCTGGGAAATCATCTCATTCATTGCACCCTTGGGAACTATTCTTCTGGCAGGAGAGCTGCTGAAGGGATGCAATGGGACTCAGTGGAGATTCTAAGGGTGTGGGGGAGAGAGGGGCACTGGTAAATAGCTTCACTACAAGGGTTCTTAGCTTTTGTTATGTCATGGGTCCCTCTGGCAATCTGATGAAACCTATGGAACCTTTCTCAGAACAATGTTTGCAAGATAAATTCATAACGTAAAGAAATGCTAAATTTCAGTCAGTGGTTAGTGAAAATAAAACTGAAAATTTCCCCCCTCCGAGTACATAGACCCCCTGAATTATGTTCATGGACCCCTTGGGAGTTTGTGGATACTAGTTTAAGATTTTACTATCTGTCTATATGGGCCCAAAGTCCCTGAGCCTCAGAGCTCAGGCCGCCCTTGCAGGTCTCAGAAGATTTCTGTCTGAGAAGGCAACGTGTCACTCACCGGGTATGCCTTCCTATTTGGAGCTATCTTTCCATCTCTGTCCTTAGATACTGAGGAGACAGTAAGGCAAAAGCTTCTGAGGAAAGCCGTAATTAACAGACCTGAGGATCTTCTTGTGGTAACAGAGAAGGAGAAAAATCCAGAGCTCTAGGATGGAAGGAAAAAGGGGCGAGACTGAGTGCCAAGCTATGTTCAGTTCTGTTTCCCCTTCATCTCTCTTAATCTTACCCATTCTTCAAGCCTAGATAAATGATCAGCCTTTTTATGAAGCCTTCTCTTGTGGTCCCAGGCTGTGCTAGTCTCTCTCTTCTCTGAACAATTCCTTTTTTTTAACAGCTTAAACTGCATAATTCAGCATTTAATTATATATGATCTTGGGCTATCCTCCAATAGTTTCATGTATGTTAGTCTTGTTCCTTCAATTAAGTTCCTTAGACTTAAATAATTAAAAAAATATTCTTTGCTCATAGTTGGGCTATACCACTTATAATAAAAATTATATTACCTAAATAAGTTTACTGACTGAGTGCTATATCAATCAAATTACCGATGAATTACTTTATTAAACTGGACAAAATGGCAGTGAAATTCATTGGGAAGAACAAAAGGTCTAGAGGCTCAAGGGAAATGGAAAAGAGAATGAAAGGCTATGAAATAATATTGCTCAAGCTTGGTTCCTAAGAAGAGATTAGAGAAAATATCTCTCCTAACTTCTTCACAGAGGTGAGGGACTATGGGGTAGAGGAAGTCTTTCCCAACCCCTCTTAATTCCAGTGCCTTTCCTTTCTTGATTATTTCTGGTTTATTTTATATATCTCTGTATTTTGTTTGTATGTATTTGTTTGCTCGTTGACTCTCATTAGATCGTGAGGTCCCTGTGGACAGGGACTGTCAGGGACTCTTTCTGTATCTCCAACATTTGGCGTAGTGCTGGCACTGATAAATATTTATTTCTTGCTTGACTGACTGGAACACTACACATAGGTGGAACACTACATATAATGCCAGAATTTTTTGATTTTTTGATTAGTTTTTGCTGAAGTTTTTCCTCTCTTTTTTATTTTTTTGTTGTAAGGGATGGCTTTCTGGGAGGGGAGGGGAGGGACACATTGGAAAATTCAGGTGATGTAAAAACAAAAGATATCAGTAAAATTTTACTTTAAAAAAGTAAGTTCCATATTGTATACATTTTTTGTACCTCTCATAGTGCTTAGCACAGTGCTGGGCATGTAGTGTTCAGTAAGCATGGTGCTTGTTCACTGATTAGTTGATTCTTAGTTTCATCTCTCCTATGCTCCCTACCCCTGGGTAGGAAGCACCAGAAAGGGATATGACTGGAGAGCAAAGTAAGCATCATTTTTTTGGGGGGGGAAGAAAGGGGACAGAGTACAACATGAATTCCTAAGAGATGGGGGAAGGAAATTCTAACCAGGCTCCTGGGCCCCTGAGCAATTCTTGATTGTCAGGCTAGCTTGAAAGTTTGAGTCCCTATTGCCATGGCAATCGTAGACGTTCTATGGCCTCTTTATCTTCATGGAGTCAATTTAGCTGGATTTAGAGATAGCACAAAGAGTGGAGCCAGGACAAGAAGACCATCCATTTCTCCAACACAGAGAGAGGATTTCGGTCCATCCTTGGCCCATCTCTAGAGGATAAGGCTAAGAACAGCAGCAGGGAGACAGTCACAAAAGGTTTCACAAATCTCACCATTTCTGCATCTTGGTATTAAGGTTTTCAGGCAGCTCCAAGTTCAGAACTTGGCCTCATACTCATCAGATCATTTTCATCTAAGGGCGAGAAAAGCCGGTTGTGTTGCCCAGGGCAAAATCTCAGCCTGGAAACTCCCAGTGTTCCCAACTGGGTGTGGGGCCCATCCTGCCTCCCCTCAGTAAGACAGATATAGAGATAGGGATCATCTTCTGAGTTTAGGATCTTGGGCAGTATTGGAGACCCTAAGTGTCATCAGAACTTCAGTGGAAAAAGAAAGGCCCTATGTTTTCCTTCATCCCTTGGGTAGGGCGGTTGGGTATCTCATCCTCTTCTTTCCTGGTACCTCACTCTCTACTTATTTAAAGTCCATGCAGCTATCTCCCTTCTCCCATGGATGAATCTGGTGGTCTCCAATCCTTGTATCCACCATGAACAACTCTGTCTACCTAGCACCACCTATCTCCAGGAGTGAAGATAGTAGCTCTAGGAGAGTCAGCGCTCCTTGGAGGTGGTGTGTGTGTGTGTGTGTGTGTGTGTGCATGTGTGTGTGTTTGTGGGTGTTTGTGTGTGTGTGTTTATGTGTGTGTTTGTATGTGTGTGTGTTTGTGTATGTATGTGTGTGTGTATGTGTGTGTGTGTGTGTGTGTGTGTGTGTGTAGGTTCTTTAAATCAGAGCCAGACTGAGCCTTGAGTCCTTAATTTTTCTCTTGTGCTATCTCATCATCATACCTGCAATGCACCACTTTCTTGTAACCCCAGAAATCCCTGAGGCTCCAAGACTGCTCATTGCAGCCCTAGATGTTGCTGGAAACTGGAGCCCCTGACACACACCACTGAATCATTGAGGGTAAGGTTTCTGTTCCTAGGAATCCTCTCTCCTTGACACAGTAGTACTCTTCGGAGAACTCAGTGTGGGCCCTAGGTCCTTGACTATCCCTGCATACCCTGATCTGTTCACCTAACCATCCAAACTTGACTCCTGGGAGGAAGCTGAGAGGGTGGGGCTATGAGTCAGTGTATAAAGCAGCTCATTCTGCCAGGACAGCCCCAGAGCAGCAGCGATGTTTCAGAACCAGCTACCTGTCTGGGTCCCCCATTATCCACCAGACTCAGGTTGGGGAGCAGATTCAGTCCCTCCAGGCACCTGTACCTCAGAGGTGAGGGAACCATGGGCAACATGGGTTTGGGAGATGGAATTGGGGAAGGGGAGGTCCTGTGTGTAACAGTTCCAGAAAGCAGCCAGGGCTTAGGTTGAGAAGAAGTAGGAGCTCGGAGGGCAGATATTGGGGGAGAGGAGCAGTAGGGATTGACAATATAGGGAATTGGGGATACCTCAGATTTGGCTTTGTTCTTGGGTAACAGGATTTTCCTTAAAGGACTTGAGATCAGTATCTGGTACCAGTCTTGAGACTGGGATACCTGAGGGAAAAGGGGTATAGCTATGAGAGATACTAGTGGATTTGTGATTAAGATTTAAAGGTGATGTAAGATTATGTGACTAAGAATTAAAAGGATCAACTATGAACCCAGAAGTAGGTTAGCTTTGCACTGAACTCCAGGCCCAGTCTGACCCATGCTGAGATCAAGTTGATATTCTGAGTGGAGAATACTTCTTTCGGTAATTTTTTTTTTAAATTTTAAACTTTAATACAAAATGAGAAAAGAAGAAAAAAATTACCATGTACAGAGTAGACCATAAGAGAGGATTCAAAATAAAACAATTAATTCACATTTTAAGAAAACTTATATAATAAATACTACACATTATTTTCAAAGCTGCCCAGCTTTTCTTTGCTTTCTTGTTAGTTTTCTTTCGTTCTTTACTGTGAACTTTTTACTTTATTTTTCCCCTCCCTCCCCCCCCCCACTCTAAAGAAGGCTAAAATTAAGCATGGATACACACATACATAGATATCTATAAATATACATCTACATATACATATATCCTCATATACATATATGTAAGACCGTACTATGCTTATTTCTTCCTATCATCGTTTCTCTGAAGGTGGATAGTGTCTTTTTTCATATGTCCAAGTCTTCACATGTTTTTCTAACTCAACCAGCTCATCATTTCCTTTACCACAGCAATATTCCAACCCATTCACATCCTATCTGAGAGATTGTCTGTGAAAGTTTTCTCTCAATTTTCTGTATTCCTTCTGTTCTTGGCTATATAGGTTTTATACAAGAATATTTTAATTTAAAGTAACTGAAATTATCTTTTTTGCACTTCAGCAGTGCTCTCACCTCATAATATAGTTTAAGGTCTGATACTACTGAATCTACTTCCTTGTGGAGAATATTTCTTAAAGAATCAGTACTATTGCTAAGCATGGATCACTGGCCCAGAGAGCAATCAGGTATTTCTCCTAAGGAGTCACATGAATTTTGGGTGTGCGTGTGTGTTTCTGTTGAGGATCAATTATTTATTTCCTCCCCCTCCCCCCCTGCAAACTCTGCCCATCATAGAAATATGCCCTCATTGCTTTGTGGACAACTCTAGTAGATTGTAGGAAGACCTCATGACCTAACAAAAAATACCTTACACTTGGGAATGAGCACTTTTCTATTCTAGTCCTAGTCTGATAGAAGCTATGTGTCCTAAGGTCACTCTATGAATCTTTCTGGACCTGTTTCTCCTTCTGTAAAATAGGCCATCCCTATGTCTCTGCAACTTTGTGAAGAGGATTGTGAACTTCTCCAGGGTAGATACATCACATTATATTTTCTTACACCTTAAGACCTAGGGTAGTGTTGAGCATTGTAGTGGCTTAGCAAATAGGCTTTTTGAGTTTGATCCTTGAATAAAACTGAATGATATACTGAGAGTTCCTAAAGATAAATGAACAGGGTTTAGGTGATACTAATACTACAGTTTTGGCTTCAATGGGGTGAGAGGATGGGAAACTCTATGCTGAATGACTGCTCAGATCTGTAACTAGAATGGGGAAACTAGTGCTTTGCGTAGGGTGTTGACATGGGGGTGTGCCCAGTTCTCTCCCCCAGCAGCTGCTTCCCATTCCTCCAGTGGTTCCAAGCATACAACAGACCATCATGGCCACCATCATGGCCCTGTGGTGATGGCACCCCTCTCTCAAGGCCTTCTTTTTCCTACACCTTCCTCTGGAGTTGGATTGTCTGGACAGCCCTCTTTGAGTAACTGCCTCTGTGTTTTCTACCCCAGCTGGATTTTCCCCAGGCATAGCTAGAGTTATCTATGGCTCTGTGACACATGCTACCACTCCCTCCAAGCCCTATGATGTTGTCACATCCATGGGTTTGAAATGATTAATACTACTGTCCAAGATTCTGGGCAAAGGGACTCGTGCGACACTGGAAATCCCCTTCCCCGGGGTTCCTCCCTCTCCCAGGAAACCCCTCTAAGTTCCAAATGTTCCTTACAGGGGCTCTGGGTAAGGAGTATTGATGAGACAGCCACTACCAAAATAAGTCACTGGTCTCTAGAAGAAGGCCCAATTCTGTAAAGAGGAGAGAATATAAGGAAGGGGAAAAGGTAAAAGAGACTGCTGGGAGATTTACCCAGAAAGCCTAGCTAGCTCATTAGCCCTGCTGTCAGTGCCTAGGGTTTGATTATTGATAAAACTAAGATTGGCTCAGATCAGGGAGTCTTTGCTCAGACCCTGTTAATGAAGTCTCTGCAAATAAGAAAGCAGAAGAATCATTGGGTAAGATCAAGATATGGAGCTAGAAGATACCTCAGAAGTCAGTTCTCCAATGAAGTACCCACATTTTATAGATGAGGAAAAAGCAGCCTAGAGTGGTAAATGATTTGTCCAAAGTCATACAGAGTAGGAAGTAGCAAGGTATGGGAGTCAGGACTTGAACTCAGATCTTCTGACAGCAGAGCCTTTCCTCCATTTCACCATTTGGCCTCTCCTACTCAATTTGCCTACACGACCACCGAAGGATGTGGAGCCCCGTGACATCCTTGCGGTGGGAGGCCCACATGTCCCAACCAGCTATCACAAGGCTGTCTCAAGGGCTGACATGAATGCTGTAAGGATCTGGTGGTCACACCCAGCATGCTTCTGGGTATGAGGAGGAGGAGGTACCTTTGGCCTGGGTTGAGCCATATTTTTTCAAGAAGCCTAAGGATGGGAGTTTCCTCCAGCCTCTCTGGAGAGCTGTCTGCCTTTTCAAGGGGGAATCCTGGCTGTGTGGAGGCAGGTGGTGGGCTCTAACTTTGGTAGTCATCAGCTGGGAACAAAGGAGATTCTGGGCCTCCAGGATGGTTGTCTCAGTTTCACAGGCCTAGTCCCTCAGCTTTTCTCCCTCGAATGCTATTATCAGTCATACCAGAAGTGATCCAACCTTGGCACCCGATTCATGCTGATCTGTAACCAAAACTCCCATTTGTTCATTGACAGCAGGAGCTAAAGCTAAGAAATCGTGTTTGTGTAGCCTGAGAAGGCATATTTCTCTAGCAAGCTTCCGAGAAGAAAACCAAAATATAGTATCTACCGCTCAAGCAATTAATCAACAAACATTTATTGATTTCCTACTCCATGCCAGATGCTATGATAGGTGCTGGGAATACAGACCGAAGAAGGAAACAGTCTCTGCTCTCAGAGCTTACATTCTATCAGAAGAGAGAACATGTACATAAATAAGGAAACAAACATTTATTACGTGTCTATTATGTCCAGGCACTGTGCTAGGTGCTTTACAAATATTACCTCATTTGATCCTTACAACGTTAGGAGGTAGGTGTTATTATTATCCCCGTTTTACAATTGAGGAAACTGAGGCAGACAGAATTTAAGTGACTTGCTTATTCTCTTTCCTTCCTTTGCCAAAGGCAGCTATAGTAAGTAGACAGGTTCAGATGAGCTCCTCTGGGCACAAGCAGCCAGGTCAAAGGCAGAGGGAAAGCACTTTCTTGGAGTGAAACAATCATAAATGCTTCACCTTGGAGGTAATAAATGCAAATTGAAAACAAACAAAATAAAAAGACTGGGAAGGTGAAAACTGGAAAATCCCGTGAGGAAGGTGCTATTGTTATCTTGTTTCACAGCTAAGGAAACCGAGGCAAACAGAAGTTAAGTAACTTGCCCAGAGTCATACAGTTAGCGAGTGTCTAAGGTCACTTTTGAACTCAGATCTTCCTGATTTCAGACCCAGGGCTCACTGTGCCACAGCTGCCTTTGGGATGAGGCAAGGTGTCTCAGTTTCCCCTTGGAAGTACGGCTCAAACCTTCCAGGTGTATTGATAACTGCTTATAAATTAACTGCAGTCACTGTCTCCATCTATGAATGATAGGATATGATCTGAGGTTTAGAGTGGATTCCAAGTTAAGGAGGCAGGGTCATATAAAGAACACTGAATATGGAGTCAAAGAACTAGGCTAAAAATTGAAGCCCAGAGAGGGAAATGATTTGTCCAAGGTCACACAATTTCTAAATACCAAAGCAGGGACTTGACCTCAGGTCATTTAACTACAAATTCAGTGCTCCCCCCACTGAATCGATGAGACAGATTTTTTTTTCAGTTAGGGGAAAAGGAAAGAAAGGGTTCCTAATAACTGTCTTCAAATTTTTGATGGGTTCTTCTAGAACACAGAGGCTAGCTGCAGACCGTCTTTGCTAAGGATAGAACAGTTTTGTTTCAGAAGCAGGAGATATCTGGATTAGACAACAGGAGAGACTTCCTGTGGAGGAGACTGAGGGGGGAGGCTCCTTTGCTGGAGAACTTTAAGAACAAAAACACACCTATCTGCTCTGGGTGAAGCAAAGTCCTCACTGGAGGAAAAGAGCAGCATGATGTGGTGGCTAAGGCACTAGTCAGGAAGACCTGGGTTCAGATCTTGCTTCAGGCATTTACTTGCTATGTAACCCTGAAAAAGTCACCTAACTTTCTCTGTGCCTCAGTTTCCTCATCTGAAAAGTGAGTGGGTTGGATTCGGTGGCCTCTAAGGTTTCTTCCAGAATTAAATCTGTGATCCCAAGATGTCATGACAAGTGGAGGCTTGAACGCTAACAAGCCATGTTTCTAGAGGACAGAAGAGCTGTTAGGAGATTCTCTGAGGACTTGACCCATTTCCCAAGCTGAGATCAGCCTCTGCTTTGGTTTGGAATCTTCCCAACTGGACCGCTAATTACAGTTTTTAAAAAGGGAGAGGGAAAGCAGAAGGTC